GAGAGAGGCAGGAGGCTTTGTGAGAATGCTGGAGGAAGAAGATCAATCAATCAATCAAATTTTATTTCTAAAGCGCTTTTCAAACAAAGTGTTATTCAAAGTGCTTTACAAAATGACCCCAGATTCCCATAACAGGTTAAAAACATTAACAAACATATGCAATCACACGCACACAAACACAGACTCACACAAACACACGAGTAAAAATTATATTAGGCTGAGTCCAGATGAGCCAAGTAAGGTAACGCAAGGAAACGCCATCAGAGGAGCCGTCTGTCCCGGCAGCATCAGGTCTTCCACACTAAGTCAGGGCGCTCAGTGGAGGGGGAGCATAGACCCCCACCTATAGAGCGCCCAGGAAGCTACAGTCGACCACCGCTCCCGGGACAGAGGGCCCCCACAGAGGAAACACTGGATTAAAATGAGTAAAAATGTAATAAAAGAGCTAATATAAATGACAACAATTAGAAAATAAGTAATAAATAAAATCATAGACAGTAAAATAATAATTTAAATAATAAAACTGTGCTAAAATATAATCATATAGAACAAAGCAAGTAATAAAATATAATCATGTAAAACGAGAAATAAAACTGTAGTAAATATTTAGATAAAAGCTAACCTAAAAAGATGGGTCTTGAGTCTTGACTTAAAAACATGAACGTTCTCTGCGGCCCTGAGAAGATGTCGGCTTTCTGCTGGCATTGTGTCACAAGATCATGCCACATGTGGACATGCTGTTCAGCCAGCTGCAGAAGAGGAACATTGACTCTGTCTCCATCACAGGGGTCATCCAGAGCTTCACCAACAGTATGCAAAAGATCAGGTACATACTTGTTTATTTAATATTATTGTGATGACATTCTCCAGTATGTTAGTTTCACAAACAGTAATGTGGATGTGGACCATATATGGTCATGTTATTTTATGTGCAATTTAATGCAGTATTTTTCAACCTTGGTCCGCAAGGCAGTGTGCCAATAGTCAGACACACGTGGATTAATCCCTTTGTCCAATAATGTATGACAGGAAATAAAAGAGCTGTGCTTAATTCACGAAACAGTGAAGTTGTGCACAAAGCTCAGAAAGCACAAGTTTGTTTTTTTTTTTAAAAAAAAGCACAGCCCCACCAAAAATAGTTGTCACCAGCCGCCACTGGCTGGGACCTAGAGTGATTGGGAGACCAGAGGGAGGTGGGAGCAATTAACATGGACACAGGACTGAACAGAAAGTGGGGAGACAAGACAGATCATGACAGGAGATGAAAATAGTTGTATTATTCTTCCTTCAACCTAGTTTTATAGAGACACTTCACTTGTGTGACTAGAGAGACCCAACAGGCTTCAGAGAATGTTCTCAGACTGGACAGGAAGGTCTGAGATCGCATTTTAGAAAGTTTTAGTTAAGGTGCTTTTGTTTGGGGATTACACTAAACTATTTTATGTGTTTCCCTGTGGAAACACATAAAATGACATTTGACACATTTGAAATGTACATTTTGTTATTTGACATAAACTACAGCATTGGACAACAGCTGAAGCCGTAAATCCAACTCTAAAGTCTTTCTGCTACTCCTGGTTTCTGCCTCACTAAACAGGACTGGGTCTGCAAGAGAGTTTAAACATGAAAATGATAAGTACACGATTTACACCATACACACATGTTTAGCTCCAGATAGACAAACACATGGCTCCTGTGTATGGTAGACTCGCTTCTGTGAATGTGTGAATGAGAATGTGAATGACTGATTGTGTTGTAAAGCACCATAGGGGGTTCCAGGACTCTAGAAGGCATTATATCCAATACAGGCCAATAGATAGCCATTGACATTTATATTAGACATAGATAGGCTCGAATTATAAGTTTTTGATTTAAAATGGGAGTTTTCCACCACCGCCATTTTGACTGTGTCACGTCTCGTCAGCCTAGACAATTCAATAATGGGAAAAGAGGTGAAGCTGAGGTTGGGGCTGTAATGTTTGGAACAAATGAACCAATATAGCTACTAGCTAACTAACCCAAAAAGCTAAGAACGGGCTCCGAGAATGGGAGTAGCCCACCTGCTTGGTCGCCTGGCTTCCATGCAAGGCTGTAGTCATGCTGGTCACCTGTGGAGATCTAATGTAGACCAGGACTGTTAAATTACAAGCGGAGCCTCAGACCGCTGCGATCGTAGACAGCTCCGTGGCCTTTTACATCAGCTCATGCTCCATGGTTGGAGATCAGCGAGACATAAGCTATATGCTAACCCAAAGCTAAGAGTGTTTTCCCGGATGTTTTTAGCTAGACAAATGCAGTAGAGCGACTCCAAAGTGAAGGCACCTCTGGCCAACTTAGTAACAAAATCACAACTAGGTAAGCTAACTGAGGATATCAGGCTTCGCTGTTTCACCGTGGTCAAAGATCCACGCGTCCGAGTTGACACGGAGCCAGGAGCTGAATGACCATGCAGTGTCATGGTAAACGCATAGAATCTTCCCCATCCAACCAGCAAACGATTAACGAGAAAATGCAGTTGAGCAAAATAAAAGTGAAGCAGCATCAATCTATTGGTGCACTCAGTAACCACAGCTGTGTCCAAATAATTCCATGATTAACATCCAAACACACAGAGAACACAACTGAAGTTTAGAAAAGTCGACATGGTCGAACATCCATTAACATCGATTTCACCGGACCTAGCTTTGAAATCATTTGGTTCTGATGTTCATTGATTATTCAGAATTTTAAGCATTTAATTACACTTAAAGAGCAAGTCACCCCTTACAAGAAGCGTACTTCACTCCCACTTCATATTTGAAAAATGCAACAAATGCTGTTGCCTAGCAGACGGAGAGGGTGGAGCCACTACAAATACACACACTCACGACATTGTGACATCATAATCTACCAGTTTACATCATAGCATACCTCTTAGCCAATGGCGATGTCAGATTTAAATTCAAATGCAGTGAAGAGTTTTTACCTGACAACGGTACAACACTGACAGTTTCCGGCAGAAATTTTAAATTTTAACTAAAATGCACTAAAGTGCAAAACTATTGACTACACGTGTCTGCAGCACGATTAGACACGCATTTACATAGTTTATCAGAAAAAAATAGTTTATTTGGGGTGACTTGCTCTTTAAAGTATCTTTCCAGAGTTTTCCCCTTTCAGAAATGATGTATGATTTGTCAGAATTCCACAAAAGTGATTATCTTACCATGTACTGTGATATAATGTAAGTAATACGTCTTTTTTTTTTTTTTTGCTAAGCACGCCCCCCATCCCGCAGAGCTCCGTGCAACAGGAAACTGAGCACTGACCAGAACTAACCAATAGCGTTAGACTACCGGTTAGAAGATGCTTCAAATTTAAGGAATACCTCGGCTGATGCAGAGTTGACAATCTTTTCACGGACGAGTAAGTCTCGTTAAACAGCGTGTTTTAGCTCTGTTTGTCGGCTACAGAAGAACATAAATAACAAAGCAACAGCCTTTTTGTGTGATACGCTTGTCAGCCACTAGATGGTGCCATCAGATAAGAGAAATACTCTGGAAAGAAGCTTTAAACAGAAGAATTACGAAAAATTCACCCCCGTTAGAGTTGTCATGAATATAAACTAGATCTGTTAAGCCTAAAATGATTTGTTCAACCAGGCTGTAAACATGCTTATTTCTGCTGTGAAATGGGCATTTTTAATAGGGATGTGAGTCTCAGAGCAACTCACGATTTGATTCGATTCCGATTCTCGGGGTGCCGATTCGATTCAGAATCGATTCTCGATATAAATCGATTCACAATCAACATTAACAAAGAGTGTCAGTTCCATGATTAACTACTTTGTTGTGCAAGTTAGTTAAAGCTATGGGAAATTTTTTATTTTACTTTAAACTGGTCATGCTAAAAAAAAAAGCTAATTTACAAGGTAAACTAAAGTGATTCTAAAACTGTTAACAGAAACAATCTTTTGACCAAAAGGCAACATTTATTTTTGTTTACCTTGCAAAATATAACAAATCTTTAGTTACCTAACAGTAGCTTTGAAAGTAATACAGTCAAATACTTTTTAAGTATGTGTGGAAACAAGTTTAACATTTGAGTTCTCAACCTGTTTAAAAAAAAGTGCCTCAGATTTCTTAAAAAGGAAAATGTTTTCTCTCATTTATCAATAACTTCAAATAAACACGAGTAATCCTGAGTACTCACTTATCAACTTAGAAAATAAATATGAGAATGTCTCAAATTTCTGAGTATGAAAAAAAAATACATTCTAGTTCCCACTTATCAGCAGATTCAAAAATAAATCTTCCCAATTTATGGGACCACAAAAGTAAACTGAGTACTAACTCTCCTAACAAAGACCAAAAAAAAAAAAAACCACACAGTGCATCTCAAACCTGTAACATGCCAAACATTTGAGTTCCTGGAATCGATTCTGAACCTTTGTGAATCGATTCTGAATCTTTATAAATAAGAATCCCGATTCAGACTTGAATTGATTTTTTTCAGCACCTCTGATTTTTAACATGGGAGTCAATGAGGATTAGCTCTCTTCTGCTGCCAGCTCTAAGACCTAGTGGACGAGGGTGCAATTTTTACCACTTACTTGTTGGCTTCATGCTCACCCCAGGATTATGGGGACTTGTTCTGAAAAGCAACTGGAGATGTCCTACCAGACTCCATGAACCAGTAAACCCATTAGGATCTAGGTTTACTAGTTTTATTTGTCTCCTAATGTTAGTGGATAAAATGGCGCCACTCACAGATCAGAGCTCAAGTTTGACCCAGAAAAGATTCAGAAAAAGGAAAATAATCCCAACCCCAATCGTTCAGTGTTCACATACAACAGAAGGAGGTGTGCTCCGTGACAGTTCAGAGTTTTGTCATTGTGGCGTCTGGTTGCTTGGTAACATCCTTCATTCCCACAATGAGAGTTTTCATTGCAACTCCTCCCTGCTCCTGGAATCAAAGAGAATCAACAAAATAAAAATGCAGAGTGCAAAACCAGGACCACCTTCAGTGTTTGTATCTTTTATTTAGTTAGCCTGCTGTTTCTCATTCCACAAACAGAAGATGTATCAAATAAAATAAATAAAATCAGACAGCTTTAAAAAAACAACACACTTAATGATCCTGAATTTTACAATGAGCTTGAATATATTTGTGAATGAAGTAAATCCTGAACAGCTCTGGCTCATTAGGTCATCAGGCCTGGTACATGAACCTAACGTAGCTCTTCACCACCATCAGAAACGAGAGCTGCAGTAGAAAAGCCATTAAAAGCTGCAGTGGGATTTCCATAATTAATATATAATATTAATAATCATTTTGGGCAAGACTCCATCAGCCTCTGTGAGCCCGTCAGAGAGTCCTCGTGCCAACGTCTCTGCACCGATGCAAATAGAGAAGTATAAATCAGGCGTGAGTCAGGGCAGCATCGCGATTCTGGCCGCTGATTGGCTAGGGGGCAGAGTAAATGGTTGCTCCAGAGTTTTTTGCTTTCTGTTTCACTGACTGCAGCCATTTCCTGGATCAGAGTCTGACAAAAAACCATACAATTTATCAAAATATCCAACATTTTTCAGCTGAGTTTTGTTTGTGTGGAACATACAGGTTCCCTCACACCTTTTACTGAGCACCTTGTTATTTTGTCATGAGTAAAAAAATCAAGCCCCCCCACCCCCACCCCCACCCCCACACACCCTCACACCCACTCTACGACAGAACTGGCTAGGGCACAACTACACTCGGATGGACTAACTCAAACCAAGTTGTACAGAGCTGTTTTAGGCTGAGTAGCGAAAACTAGCTTAACTGGATCCATCTGAGCTCCAAACGAGTCTCAAACATTTGATGCTTCCTTATCAATTAAAAGGTTGATCATTATTATGTTGCTTGTGTCCTTAAGCTGAAGCTGTGAAACCACAGATGGATTCTTAGAAGAAACTCCAGCATCATACTAGCTGGCGCTAACAGTAGAGGGACATCCTGCTCCGTCTCATGGCCTCACTGATTAAATAAGCAGGGCTGACTTCCGGTTCTTCTTTCATCACCACAATGTTTTGCCATTCTCCACACTGGTTGGACTTCTTGATCGTGTCCACCACACAAAGAGCATAAAGGCAGTCCTCAAAGGTGGCGGCCATAGTGAGGGGCCTCCCATCCCAGGTGTGTCGGTCGTCCTGGTCTTGAAAGGCCTGCTGAACAGCCTGGATCATGCGGATTGTCCCAATAAGATAAGGTGATGGAATGTCACTAAACGCCTTTTCTGGTAGGGAGGCCTTCTCTAGAGGAGTGGTGTCTTTGAGCAGGAGCTCAGAACCACCACCTCCTCCACCACTGTTCTTCTGTCCGTGAAGGTCTGAGCCGGTGACCATTAACCTGCCGACGGTCCCCACCATGACGACCTCCTGACGGAACTCTCCAGGCACGTTGAAGTTGAGCGTGACCGTGCAGCAGGCGCCTCCTTCCAGTACCATCTGGAATGTGCAGAAGTCATCACTTGTGATCTGCCGGACGCCCCGGATGTGGTCGGTCTGTTTGACAAACGTCTTGAGGAAGCCATGGACTTTGACAGCACGCTGACCAGTCAGAAAAGTGAGCAGGTCGATGATGTAGCTGCCTACAGAATGCAAACCGCCACCACCCATCATCTCATCACAGCTCCAATTGTATTTCTTCCCCAGGAGACTCCCGCTGTGGACCTTTGGGACACAGTACATACAACATGAAAGGATGCCATATCTTCAAATGTTATATGATATTTGACGAACCATTATGAGGACACTCAATCACCATGTCAGACTGCAGCTGGATGCTTCCTTTGTACGAGTTATGATCATTGTTTAATATTACAGTAGATTATGTATTTCCATCATACCTGCGCCTCACAGACAAGAAGTTTTCCAACGTAACCTTCCTCCAACAGCTCCTTCATTCGAACAAAGGCTGGCAGGAAACGTAGCACATTTCCCATAATGCTTAGCAGCTTTGGGTAATACTGGGCAGCTGACATCATGCGGAAGGCATCCAGAGGAGTGGCTGTCCTATCACAGATGACATTCTTACCGATACCTTGGAGAAGAGCAGAGAGAAGCATGGATGAGTGGTGTTTTAGCTCCTGTGTTTGTTGCTGATGTTCGGAGGAGCATTACATCAAACACCCCACACCACTACACCACCCAACTGGTGCAGCTGGAGGTCTTATGGGAGGAAAGGGAGAGGCAGCAGGGTTAGTCTTGTAGAGGGTTAAATATTGTTGCTTTTAAGCTTAATATATTGCCTTTAGTTATGACCAATAATATGTGATATTCTATATAAATATATATCAACCTGTTTGGTCTTTGGATGTTCAATCAGAAGATTCTAGGATTCTTTGCTTTTTCAGGGATCAAACACACTTCGTCTCAATTCAGACAGAGTCAGGTTTATAAAAGATGAGAATTTTTTTTCTAAACAAATAAAAACATGACAAGTTAACCAAGACTACTGTGATGGATGAATCTAAGTGGATGGGATGTGATGTATGGTGATTGAATGGTGTGTGTTTATCAGAACCTTGTATCTAGAAGAACTGAGTTCTGGGCGTGAAAAGAATTTGGTTTGCATTAAGCTATGAAGTTGGTTCTTATCAAAACGGCGTCAGACGCAATCATGTTGTGTTCTACGTACCCCTAAGGAGACTCCCTTTCGGATCCGAGATGTCGGGGGGTCGGGTGACCCCAAGGTACCGAAGTACCGGATCACAACAGATAGATGAAATTGTTTGCGTCTAGAGCAGCTGTTTCTGAATAGCTGAAGGAACCATTTTGCTGCGTCAGCTGTAGGCAACTTTTAGCTTGTCGAAAGCTTGTCAAGAGATGCGGTGGCTAGAGAGTTTTCCTCCGATTTCCAGTCAGAGTTAGCTCAACTAACAGGATGCTAAATCTCACTGTCAGTTTTGACCGGCGGCGGCACGTGGTTTGAAGGAGAGGCAAACAAATAAATCAGGTTGAGGTGGCTTTATTGCAACATGTTTGTCACCAACACCAACATTTTCTAACACCAACACTCACTGCCTTTTATAACTAAGTGACTGATTGGAAGAAACCATGAAGAGGGGTAATCAAAGAAATAATAACTAAATATTATTTACAGAACCCAACCACCAAAATAATAAATGGTACCAAACATTATTTACATAAATACAAATCACACTAAATAAATCCAAGTTCAATCAAACAAAAGAAACTAGGTTTCACATAACTCCTCCAAGAATCACCCCTCCTTATTTAAGTGGTATTCTCCAGCAGCTTAAAAGCAGCACCTGGGACACAAACTTCCCTTTGCTGCCCCGCCCTGCTGAGGAGACAACACCAGAAAGGTGAGTGAAACTTTGGAGATCAACTTAAACACAAATTGACATTTAACAAACATTTCCTTTTTACACAGGAAGGGTGGCCAGTCCCTCTGCCTCCAAAGAATCTGTTTTAAATGTCCAACAAAAAATAAATAACTTCAATAACAAAACCTTTTGTCTGTAACTCAATCAGAAATAACAGAACATTAATCATAATGAATGGAACCCCTGGTCTCCATTACATTTCCTCCCCCTTCACTTAGGACAACAGATGTTCACTCATCATACATACGAGACAGAGAATCGGCCACAAGGTTAGACTTCCCTGACCGATACCGTATTGTAAAATTAAAAGGTTGCAATGTAAGATACCATCTTGTAACACGCATGTTAGAGTCTTTCATTTTATTTAACCATTGCAGTGCCCAATGATCCGTCTCAAGGGTAAAATGTCGCCCCAACAGATAGTACCTCAGTGATTCCACTGCCCATTTAAGTGCGAGACACTCCTTCTCGACCGTGGAATACCTGGTCTCCCTTTCCTGAAGCTTTCTGCTGAGAAACACAATGGGATGCCTCTCACCATCAGTGTCCTGGAGCAACACCGCACCAAGACCTACTCCAGAGGCGTCTGTTTGCAAAATAAAGGGTTCATTAAAGTCTGGACTGTAGAGAACAGAGTCACTTGAGATTGCTGACTTCAGGTCGTTAAAAGCTTTATTGCATTCTTCTGTCCATCTGACCTTATTTGGTGCTGAAGCTCTTGTCAGATCAGTGAGAACAGCAGCTCTCTCTGCAAAATGGGGAATGAATTTACTGTACCACCCCACAAGTCCAATAAAAGCACGCACCTTCCTTTTTGTTGCAGGCACTGGGTATGCATGGATAGCTTCTACCTTCCCCACCTGAGGTTTGACTTGTCCATTCCCAACCACATAACCCAGGTACTCCACCTGACTTTGTGCAAACATACATTTGTGAGGATTTATGGTGAGGCCCGCCGATTTAATGAGATGAAGAACATGCTGAAGATGATGAAGATGCTCCTCCCATGTCTGGCTGAAGATCACCACATCATCCAAATAGGCTGCAGCAAAGTCTGAGGCCTCCATCAGCACCTGGTCCATGAGGCGCTGAAATGTCGCTGGTGCTCCCTGCAAACCAAACGGCATCACCTGGAACTGGAAAACCCCAAACGGTGTCTTGAAGGCTGTCAACTCCTTTGCTTCTGGTGCCAGGGCCAGCTGCTAGTAGCCCTTGCTGAGGTCCAAGGTTGTGATGAAATTGCATCTCCCGACTCTCTCCAAAAGTTCATCGATGCGAGGCATTGGATAGGGATCAAATTTAGAGACAGCATTAAGATACCTGAAGTCAATGCAAAACCTCAAAGTGCCATCTTTCTTGGGCACTAGCACCACTGGACTGCACCATTCACTCACTGAAGGCTCGATAATCCCCAGCTGCAACATGAATTCAATTTCCTTCTTGAGTTGTGGGACCAGACGCTCTGGGGTCCTATAGAACTTCCTACGGGGTGCTGCGTCATCTCTGAGGTGAACCTTATGTTGAATCAGGTTGGTGAAGCCAGGTTTTTCCTGAAACAACTCTGGATCCAGTAGAGGCTTTAAACCCTCTTGCTGAGCTGGCTGGAGATGAGAGAGGAGAAGTGAAGCTGGTTCTGAAGCACTGGCAGGGAAGAATAGCTCACCTTCTTCGTCATCCTCCACCACACGCACAAAGAGTTGAGGCAACACTGTCTCTGTGGGCTTCTCCTGTTCCAATGGCTCCGGTTGAGATGGCTGTGAAGCAGATGACATGGCAGACTGGGGCTGTGCACTGTGGTACTGCTTCAGAAGATTCACATGGAAGGTTTGATGTTTTTTCTTCCTTTCAGGCAAAAACAGTTCATAATTAAGCTTCCCAATACATCTTGTGATCTTATGTGGCCCCTGCCATTTAGCAAGAAGCTTATTGTCAGTAGTGGGAAGCAGTAACAACACTTGCTGTCCAGGATGAAAACTCCTCTCTCTGGCATTTTTGTCATACCAGGCCTTCTGCTTAGTTTGAGCCATTTTCATGTTTTGTTGCGCCAGCACAGCCATTTGTTCAAGTTTCTCCCTCATTTTTATCACATAGGAGACTACATTCTCTCCAGATGGGCTTGGGCTCTCCCATTGCTCCTTTAGAAGATCTAGAGGCCCCCTCACCTGCCGTCCATATAACAGTTCGAATGGGGAGAATCCAGTTGAGGCTTGTGGAACTTCACGATATGCAAAGAGCATATAGGGCAGCCATTTGTCCCAATCTGCACCAGTCTCTGAAACAAACTTGCGTAGCATATTTTTCAGCGTTTGGTTAAAACGTTCAACCAGTCCGTCTGACTGGGGGTGGTATGGGGTGGTTTTTATACCCTTTATACCTAACAGCTGATAAACCTGCTTTAACAGTTTTGACAGAAAGTTAGTCCCACAGTCTGTAAGGACTTCATTAGGAATGCCTACACGTGAAACAGTTGCAGTAAGCAATTAGCTACTTGTTTCGCCTTCACAGATCTTAACGGAAAAGCTTCAGGGTATCTTGTAGCATAATCACAAATCACTAGAATGTAACGGTTGCCAGAGGAACTCTTCTCTAATGGGCCTACCACATCCATTCCTATTGTGTGAAAAGGTGTTTCTATAATTGGTAAAGGCTGTGGATGGGCCCGGTTAACACCTCTGTTAGATGTCAACTGACATGTGTGGCATGAAGAACAGAACTGTTGAACCTGAGTGTACATGCCTGGCCACACAAACCGACTTACTATTCTGTGGAGGGATTTCTGAAATCCAAGATGCCCAGCCCAAGGGACAGAATGACCAATTTCCATCACTTTTTGCCTCAGCTGCTGTGGTAAAGCAATGGCTTCCGTTTTACCTTTAATCTGATAAAGGACACCTTTCTTCACAGCATAGGTTGCCTCTTCCAAAATGTCTACTTTGCCATGTGTCTGTCCCTCCCCCTCTGTTACTTTATCAAACCATGGTTTTAATGTTGGGTCTGACCTCTGATGTGCAGATATATCAGAGGGAATGTCAAAGTCAAGTGAAGAGCAGGGCTTACTCTGTTCTTCCACGTCTGGTTTGGGTGACGCCAAAAACTTTTCCTTTCTCCTTTGAGCTCTAGATTTTGCTGGCTTTACCAAACCTGCTTCCAATTCAACATCATAGAATGGCAAGTCCTGAAGTGGGTTTTGTGCTTTCTGTGCTCTAGTAGTAACCAGACTACACAGAGGAGCAGGAGGTTCCGGATTAGCCATGGAGACTACTTTTTGTAACCCTGCAGCTTCCTGACCATCTGCAAAAGTCAGATCAGAATCTACACTGGACACCAAATCAGGCAGAGTGGGAACATCTACAGTAGACCCAAAATGACAGCATAAGGCAGCCTTGGAGCTAATGCCACCGGTAATAAAAATGTTTGACCTCCTATAGTCAAATAAACCTCTGCTACCGGATACTCCATCTCATCACCATGAATGCAACTTATTTTTGTTTTAGCATCACCCCACAACTCTCTTGGCACCAAACTGGAAAGGACCACAGACTTAAAGCTTCCTGTGTCTAATAAAGCTACTTCACGCTGACCATTTACTAGCACAGGTACTGTTCGGGCAGGTTCATGAACAAGGGATGGAGAAGTTGGTCTTGGGACTGAACACAAAAGGGAGGGTTTACTCTGTGTAGTGGCAGGACAT